CCAGTGGCGAAAATGATATGATATCGCAACACGAGGGACGGAGACTCGTTTCTCCAAATATGTTCGATGTTGTTATACAGTAATTAAACAAAGGATCGGTCGTTGCACCTTCAGGGCAATAGAATAGGAACCGTGCATGTTAAGCCACCTTTGTAAACGGCATCACCGTTGCTAATGTTCCTAGACCTTCCCATCCTCTCCATCACTTCGCTATTTATTCGTTGGCGATCTTGCGAGCCCTTCTTATGCTGACAACATCTCGGTACAGCGAGAACCTTCTTCCCCGTGTATTCTATAGGGTTGATGGAGCGTAAAAGGACTTTATTAGCATATTTCCCTCCGTCCGCATATACTCCTCCGTCATTGTCCACTTCAATGATGTTAATCGCAAGTACTTCTGGATTTGGATCATCGGGCGAGACGAGGTAGTCAAATGTGACTCCGTAGTAGTCGATGCGGCTAAGACATTGAGTAATAATCAGCCCAATGATCATCAAACAGCCAACCTCAGCAATTGCGGTCTTAATTACTCACTCTTGTGGTACTCTTCCTTCCAGTACCCACGCTAAATACTCGTCACGCACCACTGGAGCCACTCTACCTCCATCGCCCCCGTATAGTTTCTGAAATGTAAGACTTGCAAGCTTCACCCCTCCTAACTGCGGAAAGGACCCGATCGGGTGCCACGATACATTCGGCAAAAGCTTCTGTATGGTCTCCAGTGGCCCTTGTATCCGAATTCTGAGCGGCTGGTCAGGTGGTGGAGGATGGAGGCGGTGAGGCGGGCGATTCACGCAGGAGGGAATGTGAAGCTCGAGGGCCATCAAGCACTGCCTGTCAATTGTAAAGTCCAAGCGAATCGCGACAGAGCCGAACCGTGAAGATAGCGAGAGCGCGACAGAAGCGAGCGGAGCGGAGCCTTTCATGTTTGTGGCTGTGACTGTGGCTGAGGTGGAGGCCAGTGACTTTTGCTACCCGCTAATTTAGGCAGTTAGTGGTGCGGAA